CTTTTTATTATTTGTTCCTTTTTTTGTCTTATTTTTATTCTTGTTTCTGCTTCTTGAGTTGGTTAGCCAGAAGAAGAAGAAGGAGAAAAAGAAGAAAAGTAACGCAACATCAGAAACAATAAGAAAGTGAAGCAACAACGAAAACTGATCCAACTATGCAATGATTGAATTCATACATTTTTTTCATTATGCTGTTTAATTTTTTTTTTTTTTTTGCTTATCCCACTGATAAATTTAATTATTGTAATTGCTTTGAAATTTAATTTTTTATCCATTTAAATTTTTTACTTTATTCCTTTACATAATTTTTCCCAAAAAATACTTTCTTCTTACTAATTCCCCATAATTTAAACTTACTTTCCTGTTCATGATTGCAATTACCATTGTTATTATAATTATAATTATAATTATTATAATTATTATTATTATTATTATTATCGTTATTACTTTCTTAATTACTGTTGTACCACCTGTATTATTGATTCAAGTAAAATTTTAAAAACGTTTTTAATAGCGATACTTGGGAAAAAAAAATAATGGCCGCGGAACAGAAAAAATCTGGTAGTTACTGAATAACTGCCTAAATGAAATTAAATATCACAGCTATTTTTGCCGGTTTCAAATCTCAAATTGTCAGATTTACGTAAATTCTTTTTGCTTTTCTTCAACAAATTTTCCTTGCAACAAATCAATACTAAGATTTGTTTCGCCTAAATTTTTTGTTAACTGTTTCACTGACGCCTCAGTTAAGTGAAACTCTTTTCAACAATTATCGCTTAGCAGAAACCATGCGTCCGAATTGAGCTACTACTCCCTTAAAATCAGCAAAACATAATCGAGTACAAGCTCTACTGCTAACAACGACCTTCAATTTGTAACTGTCAAAATTTTCCTGCCGGTCAGGAATCGTTTCCTCCACTTTGGTGAAGGTCAAAATTAAGAGCGCACTAGTGGTCGAAACACGTAGCAGCCGGGTACAAAACTTACTGACAGCTATATAATCACTTCTGGCAGCAACAACGGATTACTGAAACTTTTTCGGCTTTTATATGACAGCAGTTTCACTAAATAATACGCAATATTTACTTCAGAGAGTAATAGTAATCTGTAACTGTCAGATCTCCTCCGGTAACAGTTTCAGTTCTCAAGAAGGTAAGTTCTGCAGAAGATCAAGTGGCTCAAACCTCAAAAGTTGTGTGCCATTTTAGAAGGACAGCAAATTTCCTTAGGTAAAGAATAGGAGGCATCGAGTCCAGAAGACTGGTTACAAACCAAAAAATTCACCTTGAAACAGAGTCACGGAACGTTATCTGAGTGTCTCCTGACATTTTTAAAAGTTGATCTTCACATTGCATAATTCCGCAGATTTCGACAGGCTTCTTTAGAGATTTCAGTATTATCAAGAATACCAGATTCCTGTTTTTAATATCCGTCCCATAACTTAAGCATCGCGGACGATACTTATAACACTCCTACAGCCAAAACAACCACATGCACATTAATCAATGACCGAGTGACAGTACGTACAGTAGCGATGAACCATAGGTCTTTTCACAAACAAGCAAAGTGCAAAAACTCTAGTGAATTAAATCAAACCTATACTGTCTCTTTCCTTCCTGTAAAAATGCAAAAGCCAAGCGATGGAAGTGATGAATATATAAATATATAAATATACAAATATAAATAAATAAATAAATAAATATATATAT